TCAGGAACTTCCATAGTGTCTAATATTGTAGACCCTTCATTCCATAGGTCCATATCCAACCCAAAAAGTGAAAGTGCCTCATTCTTAATTTTAAAAAAGTAAAATAGGTATAATATAATCCTTCCTCAAATAAAGTATCCTCAAGGTAACTCTATTTTCTTAGGCATTATTCAATGAGAGGTGGGTCATTTGTTAATGTTTTACAAAATTTACACCATTTTGGGAGGATTTAGGACAATTTTTTGATTTATTTCTCCCAAAAAATCAAAATATGCATTATGCAACAAAGTCCGAGATATGCAAATAGAAACCACCTCTAAAGTTTTCGAAACAAACAAAAACTGTGGTTTCGTGCATAAGATAACACAAAAATATGCATTTGCATAATAAGAACCCTGTCCCTAGTAATAATTCAAAAAATTTTACTCCTTCAGTAATTTTTTGCAAAGTTTTTTCTTTTTCTTTATCTTTTGTGTCAAACAAGTTGCTTATCAGAAATTTTGTACTCGGAACATATTCCCATTCTTTTTCGTTTATGTCAGTTAATGTTGCGAACATTGTATCATTTTTACCCAGTTGGATTTTTAGAATTGAGATTGTTGTATTTTCTTTACTTGGATGTTCGAGGAGATTAGTCGTTTTATTTATAATTCCAAAAATATTTTCATACTTTTCAAAGGAGAAACTAAATAATTTTGAAATAATTATTTAATGATTTCTAATTTTATACTACTACAAAAATATTAGAGCTCGGTATTTGAAAAACGCCAGATCCAGTTTCCGGATTTCAAAATTTTTTTATAAGATCTTATAAGCCAAGATATAAGACAAGATCTTCCGGAACAAAATTCGAAAAATCCGGAGTTCATCAAAATAACTGGATTCCGTACTAACCAGTTATTTTGTCCCAGGCCCGATCCGGGTTTTAACTCTAATAAATATACTTTCTCACCTTTTGTGTGTATATGAAAAGCCAAGTTTTACATTAATTTTATATTCAATTTTATAAGCATTATTGTTAGTATCACGTAAAAACGACTTGCGCCTGGCACAAACTCGAACCTCAATACCGTGTTGGCCTGCTTTTGTGCATTTTCTAGCATATCCAGAAAACGGAATATTCCTTAGCTAGAAAGGAAACATAATAAACAACAAAAACTTTCATTTAAATTTACTTTAATTCTATCATCAGTTACATCGTCTAATATATGTGGATCCAATTTAGATTCGTAACAAATTGTTAGCTTTGACCACAATCCTCTAAAAAGCTTCATAATTAGAGATCGAATTTATCGGATAATACCGATAAAATTCAAAATTTTATCCGTTGCTATTCAATACCGTGCTGCCGATACGGAATACCGATAAATACTGAAAAATCCGTCGGTAGTACGGTCCGATTTCTACTTTAACATAAAATAAGTAATAAAAAAATTTTTTACTCCTCGCAATCCTTATTGTATTCTTTGTCAATTTCTTTACACTGTTTATGTAAATCGTCACGATGAACTTTATGGTAAACTTCGGAAATACAGCCAAGCTCGTAAATATTAGCATAGATTTGCAATATATTATGTTCATTATTTAGCTTCTTTTTATATAAATCCTAAGAAATTTTTTCATTATGATATTTTATATTTTTATAAAGTTAAACATATTCGTCAAAAGATTTAATTCTCATCTTCGAGTAGATACTATGTTATTTTTTATGTAATCTTTATTAAATGTTTAATGCAGAAAGTTCAAAAAGTTTGGACAATAATTATTAGAGTTTAGAATTTGAAATATCCCTGATCCGGTTTCAGTATTTCAAAAATCATAAGGATCCCGAAAATCCTGATCCGATTCATAATTATGGTGTTACATGGTAAAAACTGAGTGACCTTATACTTTACAAGTCTACTATTGTTATAAAGTCTTTATAATAATTAACTATACCTCATTTATTAGGCAGTTACCAACATTTTTACCAACATATTCAGCAGTTACCAACATATTAGTTGTTTGGATGTTCTTAGAGAATAAAAGCATCATCTCTAATTTCAAAGCCAGTATCCCCGCAAAATCGTCAAGTAAATATTCTTTATTTGCTTTAGAGCTACCAAACAGATTATTATCAACTTTGCTAGCATTAAATATTTTTTCTATCAAATTTTAAAAATAAGAAATATTGGAAAAAGAATTCATAAATTCTAAATTTGCCCCTAAACGTTTTATATTTGAACAACGAAATAATTTTTCAATTTATTTAAATCCCACCATTATCATCTTCCCCTCACCCCATTTTTTGTTAAATTAACAAAATTTCTAAGACTAATTAATAACAAACGTTTGAGAGAATCATCCTTTCCAAGGAGAAATGATATCAATTCATGAGGCTTTATTCCGCGTAGTATCAGTGTCTCTCTAAAAAGTGATATGCGCATATTTATTGTTCTTTAGGTACTTATCCGTTTACCCCCACAAATTGAGGCGAGCCGACTTTGATGGGCTAGAACTTTTAGAAAGATGATCCAAAACAAATGAATTTTATATTATTCGAAATAACTAGATCGGCGGTATCTTTTTTCTAATTGGATAGATAGAGTTTTTTACTCAAATACTGCTAGATAATTTATTTGGCGTTTTTCAGATTTATCGGGTTATAACTGATCAGACCTGAGCCATCAAGGTAGAAAAAAGATAACGCTTATCGTGAGCTTTTGAATGATATAACATTCATTTGTATTGGATCAAATATCGAAAAATTATAGCCGATCAAATTTGACTTGTCTCAATTTGTGGAGATTATAACAGATAAATACCTCTCTTTTAAAAGTTATTCATTTTAACTAACCCTTCTGGTAAGATATCTGAATGAACTTCCAAAATTCCTTTTCCTTTCTTTATAATTATTATTCCAAGCCATTCAGCTTTTTTAATTTCTTTAATTTTGGTCGGATTCCCCATTTGTGAGTTATCGCACATTTGACTTTTCCCTTTCTTCGTTAATTCGAATCGTTTGTTGGGTTTCCAATTTCTCTCGGAAGGTAAACTTAGCTGGCTTTGATAGCAAATGAGTATGCTAAAATTTTATTAAAATAATTTGTTTGTTTACAATAATTTTACTTAGAAGGGAACCTCGACCATTGTTACACCCTCCCACTAAAGTAACATATTTTTTATATAAAACAGAACGATTCCCAAGGCGGCCATTACCAACCAGCTATTAACCACCTATTATCTAGGCTTAATATCGTCACTAACTTATCTTTGGGATAAGTTAGTGGATAAGATAACTTATCCTTGGTGCAGATTTGCCCTGGAGGAATAGACTAGGACAGATAACTTCATTCATTAAGCTGTGAGTTATGGGCCGGAGTCTTATAGGGAAGAGTTCTCCTATACATATTCCCCTACAATTAATCTATTGCCAATGCTTTGCGGAGCTCACTTATGATTGCAACATGCGCGACTCTGCTAATAACATCAACAAAACACCAGCGCTTCTTGCATGTTTTGAAAATCAGAAAAGATATGTAGAATGTCACATCAAAATAATACGGCTTTTACTTACCCTTTACAGTTAGTTACATTTTCTGCCGGGATATTTTGGTTAAGCATGTCTTTATAGCGGACTTTATAAATTTTACTCAGAGAAGTAAACTTCGAATCATCAATTGAACATTTGGATGTTATTATTGAATAAAATATTAAAAATAAAATTGACGGAAATGCTCTTAAAGGCATCTTAGCCATTTTCTGAAATTTTACTAGTTGAAAAATTTCTCAATATTTTAGCACACTACAATATTATAAAAAATATCACAATGATAATATATCAATACCATATCAGACTCGGTAAAAATAGGGTGGACGTATATTTATTGGACACACTGTATTTACCGAAAATAACCGATTAATTCCCCACTCTTGAATAATTCGTCAAACGCGATTAATTTCCAATGCCAGGGATGGAAATTTTTCAACTCGAATAATACCCCGTCACAAGGACAGGGTGAAATATTAATTCCCCAGTGGAATTAGGTAATTAAATACAGTATTTGCTTATATGTATTCTTAATTTCTTACGGAAACGCCTCACCTTAAAGTCAATCTTTTACATACTTAAACTAAACATTAGGTAGAGGTTATACCTAATTGTTACCCTCAATAATGGGTACACTAATTTTATGAACAATTTTTCAATGTACATAAAATTGTAGTCAGTTAATATTTTGCATATACCTAATTTATCTGAATTAAAAAATCTAAAAACTAAACGAATAAACTGTGATTAATAACTAATTTAAAATTAATGAAATATAATTACTAATTTATTTTAAAATGCCTATGAATAACATCAACGGGTACAGCCCAAAAGGCGCGCGGCCATAAAGGCGCAAAGCAATAACTTACTTCATCATTTCCAAATCCTACCAAATTTAGCATAAACGATTCCTCTCATCGGTTTAAAGAGGTAGGCCCAAAATTGATAAAAGTCAGAAATTTTCCAGATAGTTATGGCTTTACGTCATTATGTCCTCGCGAGCTTTTAAGAGTCCCAACATTAACATAACAAATTCATATTTTTTTATAAATATTCTCAATTTCATTAAGTGAATCATCAATTTAATCCAGATAATCTATTTTTATCTAATTTTGTGTTGACTACTATAATATGTAATTTATTGGAAATTTTATAAAAAAATTTCTTCGTTTAAAATCAGAATTTTAATAAAATATTAAACTTTAAACAGATAACTTTAATCAATTTTAAAATTTCTATTTAAAATGTTTTATATTTCTTCTATAGATTCATTTGTGCCATGAAGAACCAATTGCCATTTATTAAGTACAATAACTATTTAGTAAATTTTTAAGTTTTTTTATTTAAATATCCATAAGTAAAGCATAATATCTAGCTATTTAATTTCAAAGCTGTGCGGCGTGGTTAATGGCTAATACATCAGTCCGGTATACAGAAGATGCGGGTACGCTCCCAGCCGCCCGATAACCTTTTACACTAGCCGAAGGAGATAAATAGCTATAGCCCAACTTTTCTTTACTCTATACATACTATTTTCTTCATCAGCATTATTAATCTCCAAAGTCCAATTACCATCAGAACTCTCTCCCCAAAAATGAACGGACATAAATTCCCAATTAATATAGCCAAGACTGCTGGTGTCTTTAGGCCTTTTAGACATAAGTTTTGAACGAGTTCCTAAATTTTTTAAAAATTATTTTCCCGAAAAAAACAGAAAAGAACACCTTTAGGACTTGTCAAATAAATTTCTACTTTGCCACGAGTATAAACCCCCAAGTCAATAATTGCTTGGACGTGCTCTAGAAAATTAACTCGATTATCATATCCATTATCTAAGCACCCTGCAGTGTATAAAGTTGCATTAAAACTTGTTCCATTTTCAATGACACTAAATAATTGGAATAATTAAAGTTAACATTTTCCAAGTTAATTGAATTAATAACATTATAAATTACTAATTTTTATTAATCTATAATCAACTTAAGTAAATACGGACATAAAATCATCTTCCTGGTGATAAACGCTTGAACAATTTAAAGCTTTTGGAACATTTTTCCATTTACGTGCCATTCGGACCATTGCACCTGCATCAAGGAGACCATACCCGTATGAGTGAGAGAACCAACGACCAAGTCCATTTTTTTGCCAATCAGCAGCACGTAAAGAATGTGGTTTTGCAGTTCTTACAATAATATGCTTAATTGAAATTTTTTACTAGCGGCTCTTTGATAGGATATAGATCTTCATAAAAGAGTAGTTCCAGTTATATACCTGTATATCTCTCCAGCCCAAATTTGGGTTGGCTTCTAATGTCAAGGCAATAATCCCTCCAGCTAATGACGCTGCAGCAGTTGTCCCAGATAATTTCAATGTGCACGAATTGTGTAATTGTGTTGTAGCAATCATCCGGTCATTGGCAGAACCACCAGAGAAGGCTGTTGCAATAGTTGGGCTGCATGATTCCGAATACCTATATAATCTTTAATTATAAGAAGATAAATCTATAATTGACCAAGGAACTCCGCCATTTTCAGTAGTAGCAGAAATTGAAATTGTGTAGATTGAACTTACATATCCGTCCGCACTACAAGAATCATCTATGATTAAAATATAATTTAAATTTTGTTAATTTTAAATTATTTAATAGATGGATGGGTGTGTTGTCGTTGAATGAATAAAAAGTAAATAAAATGACCATCCTTAGAAGTTGCCGGACTGAGCTCAGTATTTGGAAAAAGTTCGGTAGACGAGACTTTTGAACGAGATTTCTCGGGATGTGTAGGATTCAAAGTCATTTTTATCCTAATTCATTATATGTACTTCCACAAGGATCCGATGATTAAATATAAGAATTTTCGGCCGTTACACAAGCCTTTTACACGTCAGTCAGTATAAAGTTTATACGCCCAATAAAATACGTCCAAGCAAAATTTTCACATTTTTATGTATCCAATCTAAGGCGATAAGTACCTGGTCTGAGTGTCAGTCCTCTAATTATAGCGAGATTTTGCTCACCTTCTCCGCCAATCCCTGTTGCCCAAATATAAATTGATCCTTTTCCATTTCTTCCTTCATTAACGCCTTGCAATATAGCTTCTTTCGCTAGCTCTCCTGGCCCATCGAGTGTTTTTCTTTAATTACAATAACAAAACATTTGAAAATTTAATACCCATCGTCTGTCGGACCCCAGTTAGCTAGATAGATATCAATATGTTGAGGTTTATAACCAAGGGCGATTGCTTCTCTTGTGTCGTTATAGGTGTCTTATGAAATAAATTTTTATAAAAATTTCATTTTGAATATAGTCTGAAAGTCACCGTCCAGCAGACGAATCCCTCCGATTTTTGCATCATAAGCGACTCCAACATTACAACGTGAATTATTAAAGATAGCAGCCACTACACCAGCAGAACGTGTTCCTTGATGATCCACATCATCTATAGGCGTTGGATCTTCATCGTTATCAATTACATCATAAGACGCATCTGGATCATAATTGCCTGCCAAATCTTCATGGGTTATCTCTAATCCATCATCTATAACAGAAACAACAACCCCACGACCAGTATACCCCAAATCCCATGCTTCTATGACATTATGATCAATTTTTTGGGGTCATAAAATTTGTTGTTTACGTACCTACATTAAAATTAACATTTTGCCGTATTTTTAAAATAAAATTATTAGTACAGTCAGATAGTGGCAGGGCAATACTTCGACCTGATAAACAGGGATATTGTTCCAACAACTTATTGTTCCGTCAACGGGACAATAACCTACCCCCCCCCCTTCCCCAATTGAAAAATAGATTTTTTCTTTGGAAAAAGTTTTGTATTGACCGAGTTTTTAAATTCGAAGTTTTGCCTCTCACCCCAGTCAGGCATCCACTATTAAATGCCTATCTTATCGAAATTCAACCATTTATGATCTTCAAAAATTTTGTTGGCCATTGAGATAACAACTATCTCAATAGACAACACTTAGTAATTACTTATGTATAAGATGACAAGATTTTCATACTAAGCAGGGTATCTTATAGTGAGGTTCGAATTAATAACTAAAATCTACCACATATCCTTCCATAGCGGATCATTTGGCTCAGAAAATTTTGTTTTAGTAGCTCTATCTATTTTGAAATTTCCATCTCCAGGTCTTTCTCTTTTTGTTCTTGGATTAATTGAATGTATATCTAATGGTAAAGCGTTTAGATCGTTCTTATAATTAAAATTATTTGAAAAATGTTTGAAGAATAGGGTTGGTTGGCTTTGAAATAGGTCAAAATAACTGAAAATCACAATCGTATACAAAATCTGAGCATAACCCAAAAAGGCGCTCGGTCATGATGGTGCAAAGCTATAACTAGCTTGATAATTTCTGTCCCTTATCACTTTAAGTACTAAGCTCCTTAGCTCGATGAGAGGAATCATTTAATACTAAATCTGGTTAAATTCGAAAATCCTGAAGCAAGTTAGAACTTTGTGCTAAATCCACTAAATCTAAATACCTTAAGACCTACATATTAAGAAAATAAATATGTGAAATAATGTCAAATTCAAGAGATTTATTTTTGTTTGTAATTTAAAATTGACATAATTTTTTTAACAATATTTAAAATATCTCAAAATAAAATCATTTTTATTCTTTTTAAAAATTTTTTAAGTTTTACTTTTATTATTTTCAAATTCGTAAGAATTATATTGTTGCAAAAATAAAATAAAAAATATTAATTTAATCATTTAAAAAAAATAATTCTAAAAGTCAATTAAAGAATTTAAAAAAAAATTATTTAAAAACAATGTTTTGCAGTTGAAAAAACTCCATATCAATCATTAAATTGTAAAAAAATAGGAAATATTTTTACGTAAAATTTTTGTAAATATTTAAAGTTTAATTATTTAAAAATAAATTTATATTTTTATTATTTTGAGGCAAATAAATAAGACAAAAATGCAGTTTAGCACTTAAATGTGGAATTGATCTATATTAGAGATCGGCGCGGAACGGGATCCCGAAATCCCTGATTTTCCGGGATCCCGAAATCCCGGATTTTTTTTATTTTCGGGACCCGGGATTTTTTCGATTTAAAAAAATCCGGCATCGGTTAAGAAGAAAAATTCTGTCTCGTTATCCTGAGTGTTGCATACCCCTAATCTATCTATTTTAACTTCAAATTTTGATTCATTTAATTGAAATGGGATTTGGATAAATGATCCACCTCTACATCAGGAGTTGATCCAGTTAATAAGCAGCCTTTTATTTTTATTCAAAAAATTATTAAGCCAAACAAACAATTTTAAATATAACAAAAAATAAAACGAGATTAAAAAATAAAGTACATAACGAGATATCGAACGAAAATTAAGGTTAACGACATCGAGATTTTTTTAGAGAAATCCATCTCGATTTTCGTACAACCCCTCCAATCCGGAGTCTAGTACTTTTGTTATTTTTATGCCACACTCACTTTATTTTCAATTCTGGGTAAGATAACACAACAGTACTCAAACTCTTTTACGTCCAACATTGAACGGTCACAAAACTCGGTCCAAAGTAATTTTGGAACAAAAATAGGATATCCTGTCCCAATAGAAACTCGGGTAATTCTTCGTGGTACTTTTCGGTTCTGCCACACCCCTCCCATATATTCGCAGGTTATATTTTATATTTTTCCTTCATACGTGCAGAATGGTCAGACCACAGGGAAAATTGAGAGAATTGAATAAAGGAGAAAGTTGAAATGCAGGAAAAATATAAAAGGAAACCTGAGAATATATGGGAGGGGTGTGGCAGAACCGAAAAGTTAAAAGTTTTCAATAAAAACGTGGTGTGGCATAAATTAATAAAAGTACCCAAAATAATTTAAAAAACAACATTAAGAAGAGGATGGTCCAGGTTTATCACCACCCACATTTTTATTATTAGCACTACTTTCACCATTAAATTCTAAGGTCACTTCACTTCCATTAATATTTGCATAAACTTGAGAAGAAGAAGAGGAAGAACTCTTTGGAAGAAAAGAAGAGGAAGTTCCGACTAAATTAGACTCATCTATAACCTCCCCTGCTGCTGGTGGTGGCGGTGGTGTACTACCCTCTTCACGATATTCATACTCCCTAGCAATAGCGGCCTTCTCCTCATCTGTTAAGTCCTAAAAAAATTTAATTTTGGAATTTTGGATTTTTAGAGACTATTTTTAGCACTTTTTCGCGATCTACTTGTTTTATAAAAAATGAATGTCAAACCAAAACACCGTCTGGCCAAAAAACCTGTCACAGAGTTAAAAATAGAACCTGGAATTTTGGGTGGCACGACAATTGTACAGCGGGACAATTGTACAGTGAGACAATTGTACAGAAGACAACTGTACAGTGGACAATTGTACAGTATTCATAGCTTTTTAAAAAGGAATTTAATTTTGCGCTAATCGTCAAGAAATATGACCCAAAGTATCGAAAACCATATGATCAATATTAAAGATTTTAAATTTATTATACAACAGGGTTGCCGCCCGAAACCCGATACCCGAAACCCGGCCTTTTTTTGTACCCGAAACCCGATACCCGAAATGAAAATTTTCCAACCCGAAACCCGAAACCCGTACCCGATATTTTTTCCAACCCGAAACCCGTGACCCGAAATTGGTTAAAACCCGAAATTTCTACCCGAAAACTTAGCCTTACCCGATTTTTTTAAAATAAATTTTAAAAATTATAGAAAAGAAAAAGAAGGGAAAGGGAAAGAAATATTTATAATTTCTATAATTTCCCTTTATGTTGATCGGTGGTTGAATGGGTAAAGCGACAGGCTCGATATTTTCATGGGGATGGGTTCGAGTCCAGGGCTGGAAATGAGCCTAAAAAATTTTTCTTTTCAAAAATAAATGTTTTTAACTTTGATTTTCATCATGGATCTTTAAATTTATTTTTTTTTAATATTTTAAGCTTGAAAAAGCATTAAAAATTTTAATTTTGCCATTAATTTTGCAAAATTTTCGCCTGCGGCGCAAAAAATGAAAGATTTTGGCTCCTCGGTCTTCCAAAATTCCTAAAATTTTTGCCTGCGGCGCAAAAACGGGAGAAAATTGGAGATTTTAATAAAGTTAAGGCGGAGGGATATTAGTATATAGTGGGATTATACCAAGATATCCCTCTTAATCCCCAAATCCCACAATGTCTCTTTAATCTCTTCAAATTTGCCTCTCTCTATATCACCCAAATGACCAGAAAATAACCAGAATTCTGATTATAACCAGAAATAACCAGAAAATGACAAGAATTTTTCGCTAAACCCGAAACCCGTACCCGAAATTTTTGCCAACCCGAAACCCGTGACCCGAAATGAAATTTTTCCAACCCGAAACCCGAAACCCGTACCCGATATTTTTGCCAACCCGAAACCCGTGACCCGAAATGAAATCGCTCCAACCCGATACCCGAAACCCGTACCCGAAGATTTTTTGTACCCGCGGCAACCCTGTTATACAACATTGGGAAGTTGTTCAATGACGGGGAAGTTTATTTTGATCAAATTTTTTAATTAATCAACCGAGAGAGAGTGATGCTTTGATTAATTAATCTCTAAGGGGAATCTTGATTGATCCCTAAGGTGATCGATATCTGTGTCATTTATCGCTCTCGTTTGATCACTCGGCTGTAGTGTAGTGTACCGGTGGTAAAAGTTCGGGATGTGACATATGTCATTCGATTTGTCTCGACGAGCTGAGTCGAATGGTACCACTCTCTACTTTAGGAAATGATTCTGGGCCGAGTTATAGATCCCGAAAAATTGAAAAACCAAAGGGGGGACCAAGCACTTTTTTGGGGTAAAAAATTCGAATATACAAATTATACCTCATTCGAAAGAGCTCGTCGAGCCGAGTCGAATGATACCAAAATCAACGAAATCTGACTTGATTTGACAAAGTTATGCTCGTTTGTTTTAGCTCCTTACCTATGGCGCCCGTGGAGGTTTTTGCTGGTACTGGAGCCCCAAGTACATCCAGAGCAAGGGAGATGGGACTAGGTTTATGTTACGAGCCCAGACCCAACGCCCGTAGACTCCCCGCGAGGCGCGTGCCGCAAAACCCCGCGCGAAGCGCGGGGTTTTGCACAAGCGCCTCGCCGACGCCCCATAGGTTTATGCTGTTAGTTTTTCGATTGTAACTTTGTCCAAACTTTTACAATCAAGCTGATTTTGGTGTCATTCGACTCAGCTCGACGAGCTCTTTCGAAAGAGCTATTATTTGCATATTCGAATTTTTCACCCCAAAATCGAGCTTACTCCCCCCTATGGTTTTTCAATTTTTCGGGACCTATAACTCGGCCCAGAATCATTTCCTAAAGTAGGGAGTGGTACCATTCGACTCAGCTCGTCGAGACGAATCGAATGACATATGTCACGTCCCGAACTTTTACCACCGGTACACTACACTATATCCGATCACTCTTCCGGTTGATCATCATCGGTTTTCGATATCGATAGTTCTCAGCCTTTTCCGATTTTCAGATCACTCAACTGATTGATCACTCTTGGTTGATCACTTTATGTTGATCATTCCCACGATTGATCACCTACTTCGTTGATCAATTCAACGAATTGAGGTTTGTTTCGTCATTGGAATAACCTTCCCGTGTTGTGAAATAAAATTAAAAAAAATTAGTGTTGATCATATGTTTTCGATATTTTGGGTTAACATTAAAATTTTTTTAAAAAGCTCTTAATACTGTACAATTGTCCACTGTACAATTGTCTCACTGTACAATTGTCCCACTGTACAATTGTCATGGAGCCGAATTTTGTACAGTGCCGTAATACTGTACGGAATACCGATAAATATCAACAAAATTCAAAGGTATTTTCCCGTTATATGCCCACAAATCTTTGATCTATCGATTCACCTATCGGCCTAAATCGAACGGTCCAACTCTTTATGATCGGAAATGCTTAACTCTGATATAAATTTTAAAAAATTGAAAAACCATAAGGTCCCAAGCTCATCTTTTGAGGTAAAATATTCGAATATGTTTTACTCAAAATTAAATAAAATATAAAAATTCCTCACGTCCGGCAATCCCAACATATCACGTATTTCCTGAGCACTTTTATCCATAATACAACGTGCCGCTTCTTGAGCACCTTTAAGGAGGAAATTTTTTTAAACAAAACTTTTAAAAAATACAATAATAGTAGAGGGATTTAATGTCCAAAAAATTAGAAGCCAAATAAATTTCCTTCAAAAATTCAAAATCAATCTCGAAAAAGTTCCTCTCCCATTCAGTTAAAGTAAACCATTTGCGCTGAAAAATCTAATTAATTTTTATTAAATTTATTCTGATAATATTAATTTTTTAAAATATTTTTTAATTAATTTTTAAGCCCAGAATTTTTTTAATGGGGGAATCTCTCTATAAAAAAATCAGCCTGAAGTTTTGCTGACATAAACAGAAAAGTGCGAGTCGAAAAGGGGCCTTATAAATTCTAGACGACAACTCAACAACGGGCCAATTTAACCCCCACGGAATAGGGAAAAATCGACCCCCTAGTCGATCTCTCCCCAAACTTTTCATAAGCATTCAACTAAAAAAATCATCGTCCTTTCGGTTAATATTTTTGTTAAATTGTTATATTTAAAGATTAGTAAAAATACTTATACCTCGCCAGTGATATGGTCGAGTTTAATTTCGATCGGGCCTAAACCTAAAAATTTTAAAATTACTATAATTTTGGAAAAATTTTGAAAAAAGGCCGAAAGATTTTAAAAGCAAAAGGCGAAAACCCACCAATATGAAAAAAGCCAAGCCGGCCCAAAATTAGTCACCCCCCTCCACCCCCGAAAAATCTTGTTTACGGATTAGCAAATTTAAAAATATTTTTTCAAAAAAAAAATTAAAAACCTTGGTGATTTCTAAGCCATTCCACAACTTTAACAAAACATTCTTCAGTAATTTCATTGAGCGGAAAATTGAAATTATCCAAAGCTTCTGGATTAGCAGCATCTTCAAGATTCAAACTTTCCCTAAGAAAATTTAAAAATTGAAATGTTTTAAATTAAAAAAATAAAAAAAACCAAAGCAAAACAAAAGCCCCGCATTGCATCATCAAATACCACTCAACCTTTAAAAAAATTTTTTTAAGACTCTTGCCATTTAAAGGTCAATTTTTATTTAATAAAAATTTTTTTTAATTCATAAAAATTTTCTTAAAAATTTTTTCACTAATTTCGGACGGACAAAAAAATTATTTTTAATTATTTTAAATCCAAAAATATTTTTCTAATTTAAAAAAATCAATTTTTAACCCCAAAAATTTTTTCTTCAATTTTTACCTCAACAACTTTGTCGTCCCAAGTGACGCATTTTATTTTACGTTGTTTTTGCTCTTCAGTCAATACGTGGTTATACAATTCTAATTAATATTTAAAATTTAAATTAAAATTTTTTTAAAAATATTTACTAGGCTCTTGATTTTCTTCAGATTCTTCTTCAGCCATTACTTCATTTTCTGTACTGTCAACAATTGATTCTTCAGACATTATTAGAAAATAAATTAAAAATCAGGGTAATCTTCTAGTTTACTGGTCCCGAGAAAAAAATTACGAAAAAGTGGTGTTTCGATATTTTTGAGGGTTACCAGTAGGTAATCGAGTGTGCTGAGTCCGAATCTGAGCTTAAAATTTGTTTATTTCGAACCCCGAACCCGGATTCGACTAAGTGAATTAAGGGTAAAGACTTCGAAATTAAAAATTTAGGGCTACTCTGACACGACTATTCGAGTAGAGTAGAATGGTATCAAGATTATGATGTTTCGACAACTTTGGACAAAGTTGTCATGAATTAAATACACACTTGGTGAGAATTCCGTATACAAATCCGACACCATAACTTAGTCGAAAGTTGTTTAAACATCATAATTTTGATACCATTCGACTCGGCTCAAAGAGATGAGTCAGATCAAACATAAATTTTGAAATTTCAAATTTTTGCCCCATATTCGACTTAGTCAAATCCGGGTTCGGGGTTCGAAATAAACAAATTTTAAGCTCAGATTCGGACTCAGCACATTCGATTACCTACTGGTAACCCTCAAAAATATCGAAACACCACTTCTTCCTAATTTTTTTCTCGGGACCAGTAAACTAGAAGATTACCAAAATCAGAATTAAATTAAAACAATAAGCTGGAAAACTTTAAAACATGTTTTAAACAAAATCAGAATTAATTTTAAACAAGTTGGAAAGACATCAGAATTTAATTAAAACAAAATCAGAATTTATTAGAAACTATTTGGGAAGAAAATCAGAATTTATTTCCAACAAATCAGAACTAAATCCGAACAAAACCAGAATTTAATTAAAACAAGTAGGGATGAAAACCAGAACTAATTCCAAACAAATCAGAATTAAATTAAAACAAACACAAAAACAAGAATAAAAGTTCATTTCATTTTCTTGTTTAGCTTGTCGACATTTGCATCAAACACCAATTCGTCAACACCCTGTTCGCCAACATTCGATTCGAACATTTTGTATAAATAAGAAATTCTGTTATGTTTAAAATGTTTTTGCTTTCTCCTATATTTATATCAGAATTACAACGCCCATCTCTCATGGAGCTTAACTTTACATATGAACAATTACTGAAAAAAAATAGAGGAATAAAGCAAAATTTATGGGGAATTGGAAAAACTTATGGGAAAGATTGCTAGTTTATTTTAAAGGTCAATAAGAAATTTTTTTCCTCGTTCACCTCAACAGACCATCGCAGACAAAATAGTGGACATATTTGTAGCTTTTCTTGCTCATCTACAAAAACCATGATAGGAAAAAGATACACAGCGGGGTACAATAAACAATAAAATATGCAAAGTGTGTTATCCTAAAATATACATCCTCTTTAATCCTACAAATCCCCTGATATTAGGGAGGTATCAACCATAAACACCCAAAGGTCTACCCAAGAAGGTCAACTCCCTATTGATCAAATGACCCTAAAGGTCACTTCCGGACATAAAGATTCTCAAGATCAAAAATCGTTGGCCTAGTCAGTTTTGTCTTATTTTGCAGTTGCACCAGAAAATTTCCGTCTCATGTCACTTAATCCCCCTCAATCACAATAAATCCATCATAATCAGCCAAAATCCATCGATATGACACTTAATAACCGCAGATTTTTCTCAATCCGCACAGATCCTGCTTTATCCATCAAAATATTAGGAGTGGGTAATTTAAAATATTTTATTAAACATCCAAAAACAAAATGGCTGATGAAGAATTATCAACAAATTCTGATTGAATTTTGGTTGAAAAGGAGAAAAATGATTTAATTAAACTTGAAATTCATTTTGAAAATCTTCAACAAAATTTAGTTGAAGAGGAGGAAAAGACCGTTAATTTAGAAAATGAATTAATGCAAATGGATAAAGTTTGGAGATTTTTTTGAGAAAACGGGTCTACTAATTTCTGCCTACAAATACATATTTACTTGAACCGTCGGCTGTAGTGTAGTGTACCGGTGATAAAAGTTCGGGACGTGATCATTCGGAATGTCTCGACAGCTGAGTCGAACGATACAACTCCCAATTTCAGGAAATGATTCTGGACTGTGTTATAGGTCACGAAAAATTGAAAAACCATATGGGGGAGTAAGGTCGATTTTGGGGTGAAAGATTCGGATATGCAAATAATAGCTCATTCGAAAGAGCTCCTCGAGCTGAGTCGAATGACACCAAAATCAGCTTGATTGAAGAAGTTTGAGCTGTCGTAAGGGCGTGGTCGTGCGTTGTAAGACTCCTTACAATAATTCCTCGGTTCGCAAAAAACCAGAAAACTCACAAAATTACTCGTCACATAAACACACTTTGAGAAATATGATGATATTTTATTTAGTATAAAAGCAGCTGTCTAAGTTAGTCTTTACTAACGCTTGTTCAGTTTTCTTCATTTCCATTTCGTCATAATTACCCATATTTAGTTTCGGGATAACTGTTAATTAGTCTTCGTATTATTCTGTTATACTTTTCCGTTAAGCGACCGCAAACAAAGTAACTGCCGAATTTGAACAGCTATAAATTTTTGATGCTTGACCCAATACAAATGAATTTTATATCATTCGAAAGCCCTCGATAAACTCTATCTTTTACCCAAATGAATGGATCAGGTCTGATCACTCATAAAAATTTATAGTTGTTCAAATTCGGCCGTTACTCAGTTTGCGGTCGATGATTAGAGAAGTGCCTATTCTGTTATTCTTGAACACTGTCAGACGTTATAATTTTATTTTCTTTTTCAGACTAAAAAAGTTTATATAAAAATGTATTTTCTTCCACCTGAAGTTCAACTTGATATTTGTAAATGTCTTAATTACACTCAATTATTATCAGTACAACAAACAAATAGTTACTTCAAAAATTTTATTGGTGAATATAAGGGAAAATTGGCTCGAAGGAAATTTGATCACCTTAGATTTGTAATTTTTACACAAACTAATTTTTCTAATTTGAACTTATTTTAGTTTGAAGTCAGTGGCAGCTTTCCTTATGAATTCGTTAAACCAGATCCCAAACTTTATGAATTTGAATTGAGTGAACATCTCGAGGAAAAGGTTTAAAGATGATTTTTATTTTAAAATAAACTCATTTTAGTGGAAAAGTGCAATAGAAAAATCAATTCCTATGTTTTGTGATAATGACATGAGCGATGATATTGGAGGGTTCGAATTGTTTGACAGGAATAAAATGGATAGATATGGTATGAGTACCAGGGCTGGGCGAAATCTAAAAATAATGGAAAATTTAATTTCGTATATTCCCTCCTTTTTCCTTCCTCAAAATGTTAAAAAATGTTCAGTTAGTCATAGGTTATAGAACTTGTCGAGCTTTGCCGAATGACACCAAAATCAACTTACCTTCATAACTTTGGGCTGAAATACAGACCCCCGAAAATTGACAAATAAAAGGGTGGACTAAGCTTATTCTTTGGGCTAAAAATTCAATTAAATAATAGCTCATTCGAAAAAGCTTTAGAGCTGATTCGATTAGGTGACTGACCATTTTTTATTAATTTGATGAAGGAAAAAGGAGGGGGTATACGAAATTTAATTTTACCAAAAATAATAAGCGAAATTAAAATTGCGAATGTGAAATATCGAAATTAGCCCAGCCCTAATTAATACAATTGTTCTTTTAATCAAAATTTTATTTAGAAGTAAATTTCAAATTGCCAAAATACCCGAAAACTATTGAAGAAATGAAAATTGCTCGTTATTTTTTCCAACAACTTTTTAAATTTGAGATTAAAATCGCTAATTTTGATTTTTTTATGTTTAATCCAAAAATGATTCAACTTTTGTTTCAAGAGGAAATATCAAATACGCAGTTAATTATTCATTCTCAAGAGGTCGAATATTCATTGTCTCGTAGTTCACATGATCCGCTTGATATTTTAACATTTGCTCTTAATCATTTGATTTCAAATCTACTCATCGTTCATTATGGGTTTGAAAGAAAAATAGAGGAGAAGATAGACATTTTACTTGAAATTTTGTCAAATGGAGGAAAAAAATTTTCTACAGTTTGGTGTAGATATGTCCCAAAATTTGTTTACAATACTGTTATGGAGGTAAACATGATGGTAGTTTGGAATTCCCCCCCTTTTTCCTTTCCATTTTTTCCTAGTTTTTTCTCATTCTATGGCAAATCATATATCATTCGAAAGAGCTCTTCGAGCTAAGTCGAATGATATTAAAATCAACGAAATCTGACTTAAGTGGACAAAGTTGTGACCCCTTATTTTATCCCCTTGGATTGTCACAAAATCCCCTTGGATTGTCCTAATGAGAAAAAATAGAATGAGAAAGCCATAGAATGAGAAAGAAAATTGAAAAAAACTAGAAAGAAAAAAGGGGGCGACTTCCAAACAATTACCGTAAATATTAAATGGAAGTTACATTTTGAAAGATTAATTTAAATAGACTTTTTTAATTTAAAATTTTTAAAATAAATTATTTTTTTGTTTTTAGCATCTAGAAATATCAAAAAACATTTCTAAAATAGTGAAGAAAATTAAATTAAGCCAAGTTCCTGGAGATATTATTTTAAGTGAAAGAGCAGAAAATATTGAAGTTAAAGTTGTAAACAATTTTGAATGTAAAAAATATCAACTTTCCAATAAATACAATCCAAAATTGAAGTTTTTTATTTCGAATGAAGAAGACCGTTTCAGAGGCACTGATGTTGTAATTGAGAGAATTAATTGATTAATTTGTTTAAATATATTGCCCTGCTTTTATTTGTTTGAATATTTATGTTTTATAAGATAAACATATTTATTTAAATTTTTTCTTCTAAAAAGTAGCAAAAACTATAAGAATATAAAATATCCTCATAATCTTTAAAAATAATCCCCATCGACTTTCAGAAAACTACAAAATGAGACAAAATCCGCACATATCGGAGCCCATTTTTAAGCCAAATAGAATCGGTACCTGAGAATAATTCGAGGGCTGTACTTTAGTACGTGGGTCCCGAGCTTGATATACAAATGTTATACCATTTGAAAGAGCTCGTCGAGCTGAGTCGAATGACACCAGTTTTAGCCCGAGGAAAAATTTTTGAGCCGAGATATAGGCCCCCGAAAATCGAAAAACCATAGGGGGGACCAAGCACTTTTTTGGGGTGAAAAATTCGAAAATGCAAATTATACCTCATTCGAAAGAGCTCATCGAGCTGAGTCGAATGACACCAAAATCAACGAAATCTGACTTGATTTGACAAAGTTATGATCTTTTCTTTTAGCTCCTTACCTATGGCATTTGTGGAGATTTTTGCTGCTACGGAGGCCCAAATCAGAGGTGTTTCGAAATTTCGATTTTCGATTTTCGATTTTCGAGGTTTTTTTCCTTTCGATTTTCGATTTCCGATTTTCGAAATTTTGTGATATTTTCGATTTCCGATTTTCGAATTTTTGAAAAAATTTGAATTTTTGGCGCCAAAAAGTAGGAATTTTGACTTATCGGCCATCATAAATTTTCAAAATTTTCGCCTGCGGCGCAGAAAAAGGAAGATTTTTGGCTTATGGATCCTCCAAAATTTTCAAAATTTTCGCCTGCGGCGCTGAAAAATGAAGAATTCTGGTGACTTGGTCTTCCAAAATTCTCAAAATTTTCGACTCAGGCGGTAAAAAAGGAATCCCTGATCTATTAACAATATTGTTATTGCTCCGGTATATTGTAGGATTCGCTTGAATTAATGTGGATTTGGAAGCCCACCCCCATGCCAGAACCTTATGCCTGTACCGCCCAACCTTATAAGTAAAGCGGTCTAGCTCTGTTTCACTATATTAGGGGATTTTAATCAAATCCTCCATTATCCCTCTTAATCCTCACAGATCTCATGATGAAATATTACTATTTAACTTTCCACCCGGAGTGGAGACACCATGAAGCGGCTCAGAAAATCACCGGCCCCGGAGCCAAGATTTGAATAGGTCGGAGTCGGTGCCGTAGATTCGGATAACAAAATTTTGGGTTTGGATATCCGTGATTTCCCTGGATCTCCTATTCTAGTCATTAGTGTTCCCCGATTCCTTAGAGTTAAAGTAATTTGGAGAGGAAAAGGAAATAAAAGGAAAGAAAATGTGGGAAGATAACCGATAAGTACCAAAAATTTATTTTTCATTTTTTAATTAAAAAATTTTTTTTCGATTTTCGTTTTTCGATTTTCGAGGTTATTTTTCTTTCGATTTCCGATTTTCGATTTCGAAGATTTTAAAAAATATTTTCGATTTTCGATTTCGATATTTTTGGATTTATTTCGATTTTCGATTTCCGATTTTCGAAAATTTTTTTGTTTTCGAAACACCTCTGGCCCAAATACGTCCAGAGCAAGGGAGATAGGAATAGGTTTATGTTACGAGCCCAGACCCAGCGCCCGTAGACTCCCCGCGAGGCGCGTGCCGCAAAACCCCGCGCGAAGCGCGGGGTTTTGCACAAGCGCCTCGCCGACGACCCATAGGTTTAGAGTTTTTTGTTTTTCTGTTATAACTTTGTCTAATCTTGTTCAATCACGGTGATTTTGGTGTCATTCGACTCAGCTCATCGAGCCCTTTCGAATGAGGTATAATTTGCATATTCGAATTTTTTGACCCCAAAAATTTTCAAATTTCGGGGGTCTGTAACTCGTCCATATGAAGTCTGATTTCGTTGATTTTGGTGTCATTCGACTCAGCTCGATGAGCTCTTTCGAATGAGGTATAATTTGCATTTTCGAATTTTTCACCTCAAAAAAGTGCTTGGTCCCCCCTATGGTTTTTCAAATTTCAGGGACCTATATCTCGGTCCAAAAATTTTTCCTCGGGCTAAAACTGGTGCCATTCGACTCAGCTCGACGAGCTCTTTCAAATGGTATAACATTTGTATATCAAGCTCGGGACCCACGTACTAAAGTGACCCCAATTCGAGTAAACAGAAATAATTTATTTTAACAGATTTTATTTATTTTTTGAGGTTCCCTCTTTTATTCTCTCTTATGTTTCTACAAAATTATAGCTTCTAACATTAAGAAAAATCCACAAAAATTTGTAGGGATATCAGCAGGTTAGAGGCATATCTGGGAGAACGATATCACTCGAAATCCACGATATCCCCCTTGATCCTCCAAATCCCTCATTATCCTCTTTAATCCCTCCAGATTAAGAATTATTTAATTTTTCGGGCAATTCATTAATCCAATGTTTTTGCCTTTTATTTTAAATACATTGATTACCCTTTCAAAAAATTTTTTTAATTTCTTTTTAAATTTATTTAAAATATTCCCTCAACAAATAAATAATTAATTCTTTCCTTTTTTTTCTCAACGTATATTCACAAAAAATTTGTTGAAGGCAAAAAACCTTCAATATATAAATACATACATACCTAGTATATTAATTTTACATTTTTTAATTTATTGTTTTCCCTCAATATTCCTTTCAAAATCTGTAGGTCTTTACCAACAGATTCATTTTTTCTATTCCCGTATTCATTATTCCCCGCATTTTTATGTCCTAGAATAAAAAATTTTCTCAAAAATCGATCATTTTTGCATATTTTGTCCAAGCTTCTGACAAAATGAAAAAATTTTGTGGCCAAAAAAGGTTAAAAATCCTAATTAATTTTCAGAAAACTAATTTTTAATAAATATGAGAACACCAAAACAATTAGAAGAATGGGCATTTTCTACAAACTATTCTGATAATAATGAATCACTTAGAGAAGACTTGGAAAAATTTACAGAAAAAAGTAGTGATTCGGAAACATCTAGTGTCGATGAATTGCCCACTACTTGTCGTTCTTGTTGTTCATCAAAAAATATCATTAAAAGTTTAAAACAACGTGTAAAAAAATTAGAGGTTAGAAAATTATTTTGTGATCTCACTTGTACGTCACCTTGTTTCCATGACACTCCTGCAGATTGGAGATTGGACCAAGACGAAATCTCGTTCAAAAATTTTTTCCTATTTCATGAGCATTCTGAGCTTATTTGGTTGATCTATAATTTAGATCTTTGAGCTGAGTCGAGTATACTCAATACCGGGTAGATTTGATAATTCTGCAGAAAATTAGGTCACTAAATTGTTGTTGTGGAAACTATTTGTGCCGGTGTAAGGGATTAAAACAAATTATAACTTTGTTCACTTAAAATAAATTGCATTGATTTTAGTGCCATCATATTCAGCTCTAAGACAGCTGTAGTAAAAGGAAAAGGGGAAACCAAAGTATTCGAGTTTGATTCTCGTATGACCTTTCTAGTCCGATCCTCCTACAGATAGTCTTTTCCCAAGATGCGATATAATAGTTAGAGTTCCTTCCCGCACTTCTACACTTTAAAGTCCAGTTTTTTCTGCACAAAGGTGTCGTACAAGCGAGTGACGACTGAATTAAAAAAAATTTTTTTTGTTTTAGTTGCAATTGAAAAATACAAATTTAACTTTGGAAAATAATAATTTAAAAATTGATAATGCAAGTTTTTTTGTTTCATTTCTTGTTTAAGCGATATTTTTTAATCTAGAAAATACAAAAAGTAAACTCTGAACATGAAAATCAAATTAATATTTTAAAACAAAATATTCAACAATTAGTTGAAGAAAATAATGTAAATTTAAAGCAAAAAGATGAAAAAATTAATTCTTTGGAAGAACAAATTAAAAAAGTAAATAAATAATTTAAATTAGTTTTTAATTAAAAATATTTCTTAAAAAAATCTAAATATAAAATATAAATAGATCCATGCCGGTCCCGAGGTTTTTCCTGATTTTTCAAAAAAATTAGTAATCTTAACGTAAAATTTCATAATAATCTCAAGAAGGGCAAATGTCCAGTTGGCTGTCTACCTGTACGCAAAGAGAATCTGCTCTTTTCTTTCTTTTCTTGCATTTTTTGCGTTGGGAGAAGTGCACCCCCTCATTTTCCTTTTTCAGCATTTTTCCTTCTCAATACAGTAAGTTTTCCTTTTCCTACTTGCAGAATATATTTTAAAAATTTTAAAAGATAATTTAAAAATATTTTAAAAAATATATTTATTTTATAATAATAAATTTTGTATAACATTCTCAAATAGCACAATTGGAAACCATGTAGATATTCAATAACTATATCCCTCCCTCGAATAATTCCCCATATCGATTAATTCCCCATGCTAAATTTGGGTTGAAACAATAATTCCCCACCTCCAAATACCCTACTTCACGTTCAAATGCCAAAAATAATTCCCCTCCCTGGATTAATTCCCCATGCCAAGGGAGGATTGAAAAAATAATTCCCCAGGGGAATTAATCGAGAAAATACGGTATGTTTTTTAAAATATTTTTAAATTATCTTTTAAAATTTTTAAAATATATTTTGCAAGTAGGAAAAGTAAAACTTACTGTATTGAGAAGGAAAAATGCTGAAAACGGAAAATGAGGGGGTGCACTTATCTCAACGCAAAAAATGCAAGAATAGGAAAGAAAAGAGCAGATTCTCTTTGCGTACAGGTAGACAGCCAACTGGACATTTGCCCTCAAGAAGCAACGAAATTATTTATAATTAACTCATTTAGAAGGGAGATATTAATAGATTTGGAGTGAACCAGATTAAATCCGGTATAAAAAATTTGCTGGACCCGGATTCCGGATTTGTAACTTAAGCCAGATTTGCTCCGGCTGGATTTTTCTTGATTGAGCTGAACCAGAAAAATACGGAGATCACAAGAACCCCGTATTTGGGATCCAGACTCAGGAAAAATCCGTCAGGATCCGGAATGTGCCGATCATTAGTAAATACATTTAAATTTTGAGTGTTTATTTGCACTTAAGGTCCAAATATTTTTTTGTTAAATTTTAAATAAAATAAACTTTAACTAAATTTATTTATTAAAAATTAGGCAAATGATTTATTTGAGAAAAAGATTGGTGATTTGATTAAATTAAATAATTTGAATTGTATGTATGCGGTTAGTTTATATAATTCTGATTAAAAATTATTAAATAATCTTTAAAGGATTTTGTTCCAATTAAAAATAAATGGAGTAAAATTGTCAACATTTGTTGCCAAAATAATTGTATAAACACGGATAGACCTATTGGAAATTGCATTAAAGGAAACGGATTTGGAAATTTAATTAATGAAGAAAATATTAAATATTTGGGGAAAAATGGAGGTAAATTAATTGAAATTTTGGTACTTTTCCGTTATGCCACATCCCCTACATTAAACTTTGTCATCACTTGTTCAATTACGATAATTTTAGTAGCTCGATGAGCTCTTTCGAATGAGTCTTTATGCATTATTGAATTTTAACCCCAAAATGTGTTTACTCCCCCCTACGGTTTTACGATTTTCGAGGACCTATAGTATCTCGGTCCACAGGCATTTTTGGAAAAAGAGTGGTATGTACCTTTAAACTTAGCACCTTTTATTAACATATACGACATTTTGAGCATTAATGTAATGGCAGAACGGAAAAATACCGAAATTTTTCTATTTTTTATCTTTATTTAAATATTTTCTAGGTATGAATAACTCTATTTTTGTTGATGCAGAAAATCCATACAACAAACCACAAATATCCTTTAATTATTCTTTATATTATTTTGAAATTAAATGTATATTTGAAAATGGATTGGATAGTAGTGAAAATGGGATGAGTATTGGGCTAGAAAATTTGAATTCGAAAAGTTTTATTAGATATTCTCCGAAGGGGGCTACAATTTTAACTGAGAGATTCGAATTATTTAAACTTTCAACCTCTTCTTGGAATAATAATGACATTTTTGGTTGTGGATTAGTTTATCCTCCAAATAATAAATTAAATGAAGGAGAATTTCCTTACGTTTTCTTTACTCAAAATGGAAAACAAATTGGTTAATATTTAATTAAAAATTATATTTTAAATTTAATTTTCTAGGTAAAGGCATATTATTAATTCACAATTTCGACGCATATAAACCATATGTTGATCTAAAATGTTGTTCTATTGAAACTAATTTTGGAAATGATTTGGAGACTAAACCGTTTAAATATGAAATTTCAACTCATTTAATTCTTAAAGAATTTTATTGAAAATTTTGTTTTTGATTTTAAATTTACTCTTTAATCTATATAATTTCAATATGTATCAATTATATCAATCAAATAATCAATTTTTTGTTTAAATTTTTTTCTGATCGGATCAACCAAATATTTGAAGTCGAAAAATCAAATATTTGATCAAATAATTCAAAATTTATTTGATTTTCACACGAAAATATACAGGGTGATAAGAAAGTTCGGAGTGTCAATGATCTAACATTTATGTAGATCATTGACCAAAAGTAGGGTTGCACCCCGCCCCCCCCCCCTCCGTGACGAAAGAAAAAATTTCCCTGTGCCCCCTCGTCGTGGAAACACACTATTTAAAAAGGAAAAGTTGCTCGCAGAGGGTCATTCTTTTCCTTACAACTCATTACTTTGATAGCAAAATAAACCCTCACTCAACTCGAAAATATTGTATGAATTATAGCAAGTCAAACGGAATGAAAGAAAAAAGGGTTGTAGGTCAAAAATCCTAACCGAAAAGCAAGCCTGGTAAAAATAAAAGGTTTTTTGTAGAATGAAATTAAAATATTCTTCATTTATATAAATGCAAATATATTTTTTAATAATTAATTTTTTTGAGTTCCCTGTTTTACAGGAATGTTGATTTTTTAGATTTGTAAATTAAATTTAATTTTAATTTTTTCCAATAAAATTAGAATATTCTCTTAATTTTAATAACAGTTATTTTAGTAATTAGGGACAGACAAAACACGCAAATGCATATTTTGTATGAGGGTATGCCTTCAAATGGCAAGCCCAAAAATGGCGTTTTTACGGTGGTCCGAGCACTTTAGGACCCGCTTCTTAATGCATATTTTTGCATATTTTGGTGCATATTTGGGGATTTTCCTTGCATATTTTGGCTGTCCCTATTAATAACTTTAAATTTCTTTATTTTAATTAAAACAACAAAATGGCCGAAGAATCTAATTGGATTTTGGTCGAAAAAGAGAAAAATGATTTTAAAAAATTCGAGACTAATTTTGAAAATGTTCAAAAAGAATTTGTTGAAGGGAAGGAAAAGACTGCTAAATTAGAAAATGAATTGAAGGAAATGGATAAAGTTTGGATGTTTTTAGTCAGATCTTTTAAAAATAATTTTAGAAAATTCAAAAAATAAATTCTGAACATAAAAATGAAATTGAAGAAATTAAACAGAATTTTCAAAAATTATTTGAAGAAAATAATGAAAAATTAAAAGAGGAAAATAATGTTTATTTAAAGCAAAAAGATGAAAAAATTAATTATTTAGAAGAAAAAATTAAAAAGGTAATTATAATTAAATTTTAAACATCCATTGAAAAGTTATTGTGAATTTTCGTGGGTTTTAAAGTTTGGGTGACCTAAATTTTGTAATCTATATATTAGCTTACAAAAAATTATTTGTTAAATTTTTAAATAAATAAAACAATTTTTATTTGTGTAAAAGTTTAAGATGATCAAATCTAACCGATCGGGGTATCATCCGACCAAGTTCGAAGAGCACCTTAGAATGATATACTATAATAAATTATATATCAAGCAAAAAAGCTCATAATGGTCAGGGAAACAAGGGAAAGGGGGGGACTTCAAAAGTATATCGAAACAATTGAGGGGATAAATAAGGGACCTAAGATGAATCCGCGGAGGAGATAAATATTTTTGCTGGTGGGGACAAATATGAAAATTTATCCTATTATAGTCTCGCAACATTCTTCCATTTGATTTATTAACTTTTTTAAATTTTGAAAATTTTGGACAAGAATACAATATTAAAATAATCTAAATAAAATTATATTTAGAGAGTTTTTTATTCAAATTTTAATGAAAAAATTACTTAATTATAATTTAATTTATTTAATTAAGGCAAATGAAAAAATTGGAGATTTAATTAAATTGAATAATTTAAATTCTGTGGTTAGTTTACTAAATTGTATGGAATTTGTTAAAATTAAAAATAAATGGAGTGCAATTAACGGTAGATACAAATGTTGTAACAATAATTGTATAAATACAAATAAACCTGTTGGTAATTGTATTGAAAGGCATGGATTTGGAAATTTAATTAATGAAGAGAACATTAAATATATTATTAGTTTGAAAGGGTTAGGTTGGTAAAAATGTATATTTTTGAGTAAAATTCAAGTCCCCCCCCCCCCCCCTTCACTCTTTAATTTGTACACAACGGTCAGACTTTCTTTCTTCCTCAATTTCACTCTATTTATCTGTGGCACATTCAAAGGAGAGACATTAATAAAGAAAGGATTAATTTTTTTCAATTTCACAGATTATGTATGAATCAATATTTGACACTATTTTCATTTATTTCGGTTAAAAACCGATCATTTATAGTATTTAAAATAATTCCTTTCCTTATTAATGTCTCTCATTTGAATGTGCCACAGGGAAATAGAGTAGAATTGAGTAGATCCCCCCTCCCCCTGAAAAATAAAATATCCCCCCCCCCCCCGTTGCATTGCCTCCCTGAAAACCTTCCCCCGTGGCCTCCCCCCTCGTCGGGGACCAACTCTAGAATTGAGGAAGAAGGTCTGACCGTCGTATACAAATTAATGAAGGAAAAAGAAGGGGAAACAAACTTGAATTTTACCAATTTTTGAACTTTAAAAAATTATTTTTTCAGGTTATGATAATGATTTCATAGCATATGCAGAGAATACCTTTAATAAACCCCAAAACAGCTTAAATTATTCTTTTTATTATTTTGAAGTTAAATGTAATTTTGAAAGAAACATAAATAGAATTGTGGATAAAATGCATTTTGGTCTTGTAAATCAAAATGCAAAAAAATTCGTTGGTTATGTTGTAAAGGATGGGACAGTTTTTAACGAGAATAATGAAAGATGCAAACTTTCAGCATATTCATTTGATAATAATGACATTTTTGGTTGTGGATTAGTTTATCCCCCAACTAATAAAATGAGTGAAGAATTTCCTTATATTTTCTTTACACAAAATGGAAAACAAATTGGTAATTATATTTAATTTAAAATAAAATATATAGTAATACATATTGAACCTGACAGACCCCATTCCCCCCTAACTTTCCCCTATATATCTACAGAATGGTCACTTTTTACTTTCTTCTATTTCAATTGCCTTCTTACAAACAATCAGAAAGATTTAATTTTTATTCCCCTCGGATGGAGGAAAGCAAAAGTGGGGTAGAAGGGTAGAAGTCTGACCATTCTGAAAATATATAGGAAAACACTTGGGGAGGAAAAAATGGAGTCAGTAAGGTTCAATATTACCTAAGATACTTTAAAAATTATTTTTAGGTAAAGTTGTATTTTTAAAAAGCAATTCTGACTCATATCAACCATTTGTTGACTTGATATGTTGTTCTATCGAAGCAAATTTTGGAAATGATTTGGAGACTAAACCGTTTAAATATGATTTTTCGGAACATTTAGTGCTTTAATTATGTTATTTAAAATAATTTTTTCTTGATTAATTTTGTGTTTTACCGAACTTGTTAACTGAAAAACTTTTTATTTTACAATATTGTTGACAAATAATTTTTTAAATCATTTTTTTTAAATAAGTTTGTATTTTGATATACCGTAAATGCTGAAATAATGTCCCTCTCTCGAATAATTACTCCCGCCCTATTAATTACCCCCTACAGCCATTGATCGAAAAAATAATTACCCTCTTAAAAATAGTTATAATTAGCCTTTTTTAAAGAAGCTCAAATAATTACCCCCTCCCTTTTAATTACCCCCTCGAGAGGTTGAAACAATAATTACCCTGGGTAATTATTTTAGCAAATACGGTATGATGTGTTTTCATATTTCTCAATGTTTCATAAAAAACCAACTCAACTCTTTTGTCCACCTATTACCGTATGCATGAGCAAGTCTTCTCTGAAGCATCTCTCTGCCAAAAACAAAATTCTATTGACGAAAAGTAGTTTTTAGCTTTTTACCCAAATATACGTTTGCCGAAATATGTGGACACGTAAACACAAGATTTGCGACCCCCCCCCCCTCTCCCCCCCCCCCCCCCTCTCCCTCTCCCTCTCCCCCCCTCCCTTACATTCATTCTGACTATTCAAAAATTAACACGTCTCCTTATTTTTTATAAAAAGAAAATATTAAGGCAAAAAATTAGATAGAGATGTAGAGGGATTTTCCAATAATTTTTTTTGAATAAAATCTTATCTTTTTTTTAATAATTCTAAAATTTTTTTCAATAATTCTCTGATTAGAGTTGTTTATTAACCGGTACCCCCGGTTTTGGGCTAATCTAAATTTTGGAAATCCGGTTTTCAGTTTAGAATTTTAGACAAATACCGATTTTATTTTGGGGGAATTTTTAATTAAATCGCTCATTTTTAGAAGTTTTCGGTTTTTAAATTTTCTAAAAACGGTTAAGTTTTGGCAAAAAATTTCAAAAATTCCGGTTTTAAAACCGGACACTAACAACCCTATTTTTAAGTTTATTCAAAAATTTTCTCTTGGTCTTCTTTTTTTGTATTTTTGTAGCCCTATCCATTAGCTGTTAAATGATTATAAACTTGTCCAATTTTCTATTTGATTTGGAAATTTCAGTAAAGCTAACCTACCCAAAACTACGCGGCCTTTTACTTAAGGAAAAAAATAAAGTTTAATTTTTTATGGAAAAACTATACGGTATAAATCTGAAAAAATTCCTGGGATTTTTCCTAGTAATGTCTTTCTGGAATCTTTCCTAGTAATCTTTCCTAAATATCCGCTGTTTAGAAATTTGGATGGTTTTTTCTTTTGATTTCAGATTTTCGAATTTTTACTACGGTACAAAATATGAAGAGTTGTGTTCTTGTATTTTCATTAGAGTTCAGCGGTATCGGGATTTTGAGAAAAACCCGGGATCGGGATTTAGAAATGGTGATCCCGATCCCGGATCCCGACACGGGATCGGGATTGGCCGAAATCGGGATCGGGATTTGGACTGGAGATCCGGATCCCGGTCCCGAATCGGGACCGGAATTTTTCATAATTGAGTAT